TGCATCTGAGGACCACGGCTACCTGAAGCACCGTGAGAAACCTGAAGTGCCGACTGAAAAGGCCTAGGAGGATGGCCTCTACCATACGAATCCCTAGCTCCAGACGAGGTACCACTGAATCTGCCTGAATGACGGGGCCTCTTGTCCGACCCATGACCACCTCCCTGTGACAGAACCATCGCCACTCTCCTGGCCACATTGGCCGCCTCCTAAAAAGAGATCTCACTCCCTGCCTCCCTAGCAATCTGAAGTCGAATAGGCTGGATAAGTCCCTCAATGAACCTCCTCACCCTCTCTCTCTCGGTGGGAAGTATGATAAGAGCATGACGAGCCAAGTCGATGAATCTGGTCTCATATTGGGTAACAGTCATAGAACCCTGCTGGAGATGCTCAAACTGCTTCCGATATGCCTCTCTCTGAGTGATGGGGAGAAACTTCTCCAGAAATAGCTGAGTGAACTGCTCCCAAGTCAAAGCTAGTGATCCGGCTGGTCTAGCCAAGCAATAATCTCTCCACCAAGTCTTGGCGGATCCAGATAAGCGAAAAGTAGCAAAATCGACCCCATTGGTCTTCACTATCCCCATGTTCCTGAGAACCTCATGACAGCTGTCTAGATAATCCTGGGGATCCTCAGAAGATGCACCGCTGAAAGTAGTAGTGAAGAGCTTGGTGAACCTGTCCAATCTCCACAAAGCATCAGCAGACATAGCCACTCCATCACCGGCCTGGGCTACCACACTCGGTTGAACTGCTCCAACTGGCGGAACTGCTAGAGTCTGAAATTGGGGAGCTACCTGCTCCGGAGTGCGAGTAGCAGGAGTTTGGGCTCCTCCTCCAGCCTGAGAGACGGCTGGTGCTACAGGAAGCAAGCCTGCCCGTGTGACACTCTCCATAAGGCCCACTAGACGGACCAGAGCATCCTGGAGTATTGGGGTAGCAATAAACCCCTCTGGGACCTGAGTTGGGCCCACCGGAGCTGCTGGGGCCGGAACCTCATCATCAAAGTCAACCTGAGGCTCCTCTGCTGGTGATGCTGCTCGGGGCTGGGCTCTGCCCCTACCTCGGCCTCTAGCACGGCCTCGGCCTCTGCCCCTCGTGGGAGCTGCTGCTGGGGGCTCGGGCTGCTGGTCAGCGGATGAGGAAGCACGTGTTCTCGGCATCTGCGAGAGAACAGAATAGAAATTCAATCAGTCATTGAGAAACCAAACTGCACGACAGGAGAGAAAAAGTGTGAAATTTTCCTAACTCTGTACCCTATGGGGGATAAATACAGACGTCTCCGTACCGATCCCTCAAACTCTACTAAGATTGTCTGTGATTTGAGACCCATGTAACCTAGGGCTCTGATACCAACTTGTCACGACCCGGATTTCCCACCCTCGGGAGTCGTGATGGCGCCTACTAATGTGAGCTAGGCAAGCCAATTCTTTAAAACTAATTACTTCATTATCCATTTATTACTTTTTATCAAACACAAAGCGATAACGTATAAACAGCGGAAAGTTAAATTAAGCGAAAAAAATAATGAAACGAAATATCGAGAATCTATGTCTATTACAATTACTCAAGCCTTAACCACCCAAAACTTGGTGTCACAGTGTCACAGACAGTTTAACATTAACTACACACAAAGTCTGAAGAAATAACAGTACACTGTTTCTGAAATAAGGAAAATGAAACAGGGAATAGAAGATAGAGGAGATGCCAGGGCCTGCGGACGCCTGCAGGTCTACCTTGGATCTCCGCGTGGACTGAAGGTAGCCAACTGATCTACTGTCCGAAGTCAACAACACTGGGATCTGCACAAAAGAGTGCAGAGCGTAGCATCAGCACAACCGACCCCATGTGCTGGTAAGTGCCTAGCCTAACCTCGACGAGGTAGTGATGAGGCTAGGACCAGACTACCACATAAACCTGTGTAGTTCAAATATATATACAACGGAAAATAAATACAGAAGTTACAAGTAAAGATGGGAGGGGGATGCATGCTTCGGGGAATAACAGGTAAAAACAGAATATCAAGAGAATTATAAAGGGATCAAAATCCAACCACTAACAAGAATAAGGAAACAAAAGCAGATTTCACGTTCTTTTCACATCTTGTTGCAGGCGTGCAACCCGATCCCATTTCTCATATCTTGTGGCAGGCGTGCCACCCGCTCCTATTTCATGTATCTCGTAGTAGGCGTACCACCCGCTCCCATTTCATGTATCTTGTGGTAGGCGTACCACCCGCTCCCATTTCATTATGTCTTGTGGTAGGCGTACCTCCCGCTCCCATTTCATTATATCTTGTGGTAGGCGTACCACCCGCTCCCATTTACAACCAACAATAATCACAAGGAATCCCGGGAAGGGAACAAGAACAACATAATAACTTCCCGGCAAGGGAACATTAATATTTCAACAACATCCCGGCAAGGGAACATTGATGATAATAATATGTGAGGTACAATAAACCACAACGGAGTCATAACAATTTATAACACAAGATCACGGGCATGCTTGACACCGACGTATAGATACTCGTCACCATGCCTATACGTCGTACTCCACAATTAACACGTAGCAATAGACACAACTCCTAATCCTTCAAGCTAAGGTTAGACCAAACACTTACCTCGATGCCACGAACACAATTCATGATTTTATTATAGCTTTACCCCTTGATTCCACCACCAATTCGCTCGTATCTAGTCACAAGTTACTTAATTACATCAATAAACGCTCAATGAATCAACCCCAATGCATGAAAATGAGTTTTCCAAAGTTTTACCCAAAAAGTCAAAAATCGCCCCCGGGCCCACGTGGTCAAAACCCGAGGTTCGAACCAAAACCCGATCACCCATTCCCCCACGAACTCAAATATATAATTTGTTTTGAAATCGGACCTCAAATCGAGGTCCAAATCCCTAATTTGTGAGAAACCTAGGTTCTACCCAAAACACCCAATTTCCCCCATGAAAATCATTGAGTTGAAGTTGAAATCATGTTAAAAGATGTTAAGAATTGAAGAAAGTTAGTTAAAAACGACTTACAATTGATTTGGAGAAGAAGAAACCTTTGAAAAATCGCCTAAGTGTGTTTATGTGTTGAGAGGATATGAAAATGGGTTAAAAATTCGGCTAAGTATAAAAGTTGCAGGTCTCAGATGTGGGAATTTGCTGTTATGGGAGCGAAGGGAGTCTCGCAATTGCGAGATGCGAAATGCGAGGGTTGGGCCGCATTTGCAACCTCAGGCATCAAAGGAGAGCTTCGCATTTGCGAAGCAGGCGTCGCATTTGCGACTGGCCTTCCGCATTTGCGAGTCAAGTGGTCGCATTTACGATCAGGCCTGCCCAGGTCCTATTTTCGCATTTGCGATGAAGGTCTCGCATTTGCGAAGTCTGCAGACCTGTGCACATTAGCTGAAAACCTGCAATTTTTCCAAGTTCAAAATGCACCCTGTGGCCTATCCAAAACTCACCGAGCCCTCTGGGCTCCAAACCAAACATACACACAACCTCAAAAATATCTTGTGGACTTATTCGTGTAATCAAATCACCAAAATAACATCATGGACATCGAATTAAACCTCAAGATCAATGAAATTTCTCAAAACTTCTTAAACATCAAATTTTGCATTTAAGGTCCGAATCACGTCAAACGGATTCCGTTTCTCACCAAACTTCACAGAATTATCTTAAACCATATATAAGACCTGTACCGGGCGCCGGAACCAAAATATGGGCCCGATACCAACATGTTCTAATTAAAATTCATTTCCAAACCTTATAAACAATTTCAGAAAACAATTTTCTTTAAAAATACATTTCTCGGGCTTGGGACCTCGGAATTCGATTCCGAGCATACGCCCAAGTCCCATATTTTCCTATGGACCCTCCGGGACCGTCAAATCACAGGTCCGGGTCTGTTTACCCAAAACGTTAACCGAAGTCAAATTAATTCATTTTATAGTCAAAATTTATCATTTTTTACAGATTTTCACATATAGGCTTTCCGGCTACGCGCCCAAATTGCGCACGCAAATCGAGGTGATGCTAAAAGAGATTTTTAAGGCCTCGAAAAGTAGAACTCGATTTAAAAACAAGTGATGACCTTTTGGGTCATCACACACACACACACACACACACACACACACACATATATATATATATATATATATAAAGGATAATTAATACTAAAATTCTTATAATTAAGACGTACACTGTTATATGTCTATCTTTATTAAGATGTGTGCAATCTTATAAGACAAATAATATGTCAGAAGTAGTATCTGTATTTTAGTTATACTTACTTGAGTTAATTGCAACACTGCCATAACCTCAAAGCACAACAGGATGAGGTCTAGTTAAATAAAAAGAAGAAAAATAAAGAAGTCCTTCTGCCTACGCCATTTCAGCCACACTCCTAAATTACATTGTATACCGCCTAAACTCTACCCACTCTCCTAAATTACATAGAACTCTTGTGCCTTTTCAGCTTTTTCTTCCCACGATCACAATATGCTAAATCCTTTCCATTATTTTTCCCTTATTAGTACCTTGTGTACCTGTAGGTTTCTGTTTAGTTTTTTTTTAAAAATTTTTTTCCATTTTTGCTTGCCGGTTTCCTTGACACCCATAGTATCTTGTTTAAAATATTTAGTTAGACTTGTCTGCTTATATCGGTCTCTGTCTTTCTCCTAAGTCTTATAGTCGATACATAGTTGGTCCCTGCTTAGTCGGATCCCTTATTAGCACCTTGTGTAGCAGTAGGTTTCTGTTGAGTTTATTCCTTTCTAGTCTATCCTTTTGTAGCTTTGTGCAGGTCTAGTGGCCGCGCTGAGTTATGATAGAGTAAGGGCATGTCCTCGGGGGGAGCGGGCGGAGCGAGGGGTAGGGAGTAAGGGTGGCTGGGGGGGGGGAGGGGGGGGTAAGGCACCTTCTAGGCTGAGAGTGGGGTCATGGAACATAGGGACTCTAACGGGAAAGTCTATAGAGTTAGCAAGGATACTCTTGTGTCCAGAAGACTAAATGGGTGGGGAACAGGGCTCGGGAGGTGGATGGTTTTAAGTTGTGGTATTCAGGGAGGGTGAGAGGGAAGAATGGGGTAGGCATTTTAGTTGATAAGGATCTAAGGGAGCTAGTGGTTGAGGTTATGAGGGTGAATGACAGGTTGATGGCCATTAAGATAGTCGTGGGAGGGTATACTCTGAACGTAGTTAGTGCTTACGCACCTCAGGTGGGTTTGGACGAGGAGGTTAAAAGATGCTTCTGGGAAGATTTGGATGGGTTGGTTTGGGGTATACCGTCCACCGAGAAGCTTATTATAGGGGGTGATTTTAACGGCCACATTGGGAGGTCGCCTGGGGGATATGATGATGTGCATGGTGGCTTGGGTTTTGGAGATAGAAATGGTGGAGGTACTTCGCTGCTGGAGTACGCCAAAGCTTTTGAGCTGGTGATCGCTAACTCGTATTACCCGAAGAAGGCGGAGCACCTGATAACTTTTCGGAGTGCGGTGGCCAAGACCCAGATTGATTATCTACTTCTCCGAAAATATGATAGAGGTTTATGCACGGATTGCAAGGTCATCCCGAGTGAGAATCTTACGACCCAGCATATGCTTTTGATTATGGACTTAGAGATCAGTTGGACGAGGAAGAAAAGGGCTATGTCTAGTATACCTAGGGTCAGGTAGGGTGCATACTAAGGACAAGGCCCAAGAGTTGGGGGAGAAGTTGCTGGCTATGCGGGCCTGGAGGAGTAGCGGGGATGCGAGTTGTATGTGGTCTATGACAACAAATTGCATTAGAGATGCGGCGAGAGAGGTGTTAGGGGTCTCAAAGGGTTTTTCTGGTGGCCATAAAGGGGACTGTTGGTGAAACGAAGAGGTTCAGAGGAAAGTGGAAGCCAAGAAAGCGACATATTTGAAGCTAGTAGAGAGTATCGACGAGGGGCAGAAGAGTGCTAACAGAGAAGGGTATAAGAAGGCTAGGAAGGAGGCGAAGTTGGCGGTTACTGCGGCTAAGACCGCCGCGTTTAGTCGTCTATACAAAGAAATTGGGGATAAAGGCGGGGAAAGGAAGTTATACAGACTAGCGAAGATGAGGGAGCGGAAGGCCCAGGATCAGGACCAAGTGAGATACATAAAAGATGAGGAGGGAAGAGTTTTATGGGAGGGGGCACAGATTAGGCAGAGATGGCAGTCTTACTTTCATAGGCTCTTGAATGAAGAGGGAGATAGGGGCATTGTGCTGGGGGAGTTGGAGCACTCGGAGTGGCAGCGAGATTTTGGGTACTGTAGACGTATACGAGTGGGGGAGGTTGTAGGGGCTATGCGCAGGATGAGTAGGGGTAGAGTGACGGGGCCGGACGAGATCCCGATGGAATTCTGGAAGAGCATGGGTAAGGAGGGCTTGGAATGGCTTGCTGGGTTGTTTAACGTCATTTCTAGGACGAAGAAGATGCCCGAAGAATGGAGGCGGAGTACGATGATCCCGCTGTACAAGAATAAGGGGGATGTCCAAAACTGCAACAACTATAGGGGTATCAAGTTGTTAAGCCATACTATGAAAGTGTGGGAGAGGGTGATTGAGGGGAGGTTGAGGAGGTGTGTGTCCATTTCCGAGAACTAGTTTGGTTTCATGCCGCGACGGTCAACCACTGAGGCCATTCATATTGTGAGGAGATTGGTGGAGCAGTTTAGGGCGATGAAGAAGGATTTGCACATGGTGTTCATTGACCTGGAGAAGGCCTATGACAAAGTCCCCAGAGAGGTTCTATGGAGATGTTTGGAGGCTAGAGGAGTGCCTGTAGCGTATATTAGAGTGATTCAGGACATGTATGATGAAGCTAAGACACGGATTAGGATAGCGGTGGAGACTCGGATTACTTTCCAGTTGAGATGGGGTTGCATAAGGGATCACCACTTAGCCCGTTTTTGTTTGCCCTGGCGATGGATTCTTTGACACGTCACATTCAGGGGGAGGTGCCTTGGTGCTTGCTATTTGCGGATGACATAGTCTTGATTGATGAGACGCGAGGTGGCGTTAACGAGAAGCTGGAGATCTGGAGACATACCCTGGAGTCTAAGGGTTTCAAGTTGAGCAGGACCAAGACAGAATACTTGGAGTGCAAGTTCAGCGGTGTTACCCTGGAGGCGGATGGGGATGTAAAACTCGATACGCAAGTCATTTCCAGGAGAGAGAGTTTCAAGTATCTGGGATCTATAATTCAGAAGGATGGGGAGACAGATGAGGATGTCACACACTGTATCGAAGTAGGGTGGATGAAGTGGAGGCTCGCTTCCGGTGTCTTGTGTTATAAGAATGTGCCATTGAGACTTAAGGTAAGTTCTACAAGGTAGTTGTTAGACCGACTATGTTGTATGGGGCAGAGTGTTGGCCAGTCAAAACCTCTCATGTCCAGCAGATGAGGGTAGCGGAAATGAGGATGTTGAGATGGATGTGTGGGCATACTAGGTTGGATAGAATTAGAAATGAAGTTATTTGAGACAAGGTAGGAGTGTCCCCTGTGGAGGCAAAGATGCGCGAGGCAAGGTTGAGATGGTTCGGGCATGTTAAGAGGAGAAACACAGATACCCATGTCAGGAGATGTGAGAGGTTGGCCTTAGGAGGGGTGAGGAGGGGGAGAGGTAGGCCAAAGAAGTCTTGGGGAGAGGTGGTCAGGCGGGACATGGCGCTACTTGAGCTAACCGAGGACATGACTCTAGATAGAAGGGTGTGGAGGTTGAAGATTAGGGTAGAAGGTTAGTAGGTAGTCGTGCATCTCCCTTTGTCTTCTCTAGCTTGATAGTATTAGCGCTAGTTCGGTACCCTTTTTTTCCTTAGTTTTCTATATTCGCATGTCTCGTTCGTTGTTACTTGCCATTGGTAATTCCGTAGTTTGCTAGCAGTACTTCGTTCATATTCTCGTCTGCTGCCTTGGAATTAGTTTTCTAAATATGTTATCTTGCTGCTACTTGTTATCAGTACCCCTTTCATATTATCTGTTGTTATCTCCGATTTAGTTTTCTAATTATTGTTTTGCTATTACTTGCTACCAGGGCTTCTCTCACCTTCTTTAGCTGAGGGTCTATCGGAAACAGTCTCTCTGCCCTTCCAGGGTAGGGGTAAGGCTGCGTACATCCTACCCTTCCCAGACCCCACTTGTGGGACCACACTGGGCTGTTGTTGTTGTTGTTTCCATTATTTTTCCCAACTGAAAGATTATCTCAAACCAGTCTCTCACAAGCTATTGTTTGGATACTTCTCAATTCCACAATCCATTCGGCTAAGTGGTAAGTATTTTTTATCAATCTAATTTTTCCAGTATATTGTAGATATGTTGAAAGCTTGTGCTCAGTATAATTGGGATTTGAGGCCTAATTTGATTATTAGTACTCATTTTTTACTATCTAAAGATTTTTAGAAATCAATAAATGCTACTGTAATCTTCTTACATTATCAGAAAAATGACTTCAAATCGTGAGTGGATGTACAAAAGGTTAACGAGAGGTTTGTATAATCCAGAATTCGTAAGGGGTGTTAAGCAATTTATTGAGTTTGCAAAGAATCATCGGGATGGTGAGAGACTAAGGTGCCCATGTAACCGAAAAAAGTGTCAGAATAGAAATTTTGAAGATGTTATTACGGTCCACGAACATTTATTGCGCGACGAATTTGTACCTGGATATCATATATGGTACTTTCATGGAGAAAATGAGGTTACTAGAAATATAGTTCAACATGAAGAGATGCAAAATTGGGATCAGACTATGAATATTGCATAAGTATATGTGGGTGCAATTGATGATCCTGGATCACCTACTTCATACCATAGAATGGTCCTTGACGCCGTTGGCCCCTCATTCTATCCAAATGATATGGATGAATTACCGAATCCTGACGTGCAGAAATTTTATGATATGATTGATTCTGCAAATCAAGAGGTGTGGCCTGGCCGTGAAACACATTCTCAATTGTCAGCTCTTGCACGTTTATTGCATATCAAGTCTGAACACCATCTATCTGATAGATGTTCTGATGACATTTGTCAATATGTGAATGAGATGATTCCGCCTGATAACCTAATGCCAAAAAATTTCTATGAAACTAAGAAGTTAACGTAGGGAATGAACATGCCAGTTGAAAAAAATTCACAGTTGTATCAGTGCATGTATGATTTATTGGGGAGAAGATACTGAACTTAGCCATTTCAAGTTTTATCGTCATCCCAGGTACAAGCCTACTAGGAAAATATCTAATTCAAAGAGAAATCTTGTACCATTCAAGCAGATGTACTACTTTCCCCCCACTCCACGGTTGCAATGCTTATATGCTTCCGTCATGACTGCTGCACATATGCGATGGCGTGCCGAGAATGATGTTGAGGAAGGTGTGATGCGTCATTGTTCAAATGCACCCGCATGAAAACACTTTGATAAGATGCATCCATCTTTTGCAACTGAAAGTCGTAATGTCAGATTGGGGCTATGCACAGATGGTTTTAAACCATTTGGACAAACAGGTCAACAATACTCATCTTGGCCAATAGTTTTGACACCATACAACTTGCCACCTTGGATGTGTATGAAAGAGTCCTATTTGTTTTTGTCAGTTATAGTTCCTGGGCCGAAGAAACCTAAGCAAAAAACTTGATGTTTTCTTGCAACCTTTGATTGCAGAACTAAAAAATCTGTGGAGTATAGGTGTGGACACATATGATATCTCTAAGAAGCAAAATTTTAACATGCAAGCTGCTTTGATGTGGACAATTAGTGATTTTCCTGCATATTCGATGTTGTCTGGATGGGGTACTGCGGGTAGGCTAGCATGTCCATATTGTATGGAGAATACAGATGCTTTTACTTTGACAAAAGGTGGCAAACAGTCCTGGTTTGACAATCATCATAAGTTCCTTCCACTGGATCATCCATACAGAACTAATAGAAATTCATTTAGAAAGAATAAAGTGTCACAACACATCCTCCCCCGATACGGTCAGGTGATGATATATTTAAGGAGATAAATGAATTGGGGTTGAAAAAGGTAACAGAGCTTAGGGTTGATATTGTTAATGGCAAAATTAGAAAGTTTTCTGGTTGGAAGAAAAGAAGCATATTTTGGGATTTGCCGTATTGGAGTACAAATCTCATTCGACACAATCTAGACGTTATGCACATCGATAAAAACTTTTTCGAGAATGTGTTCAACACAGTGCTAGATGTAGACGGTAAAACAAAAGATAATCCCAAATCTAGAGAAGACTTGAAAGAGTTCTGTCGACGGCCCGAATTACATGTTGTTGGTGACGAATATCCGAAAGCTTGTTACACACTAGACAAGAAGTCAAAAACAGTGTTGTGTGAATGGGTGGATAATCTGAAATTTCCAGATGGATATGTCTCAAATATGGGAAGGTGTGTGGACATGAAAAAACATAAATTGTTTGGTATGAAAAGCCACGATTGTCATGTATTCATGCAAAGATTGGTCCCTATTGCGTTTTGTGAGCTATTGCCACAAAAAGTTTGGGAACCACTTGCTGAGATGAGCCTTTTCTTTAGGGATCTCACTTCTACAGCAATTCGGGAAGAGGATATGGTCAGACTTGAACAAAACATACCTGAAATACTTTGTTAAATTGGAGCATATATTCCCTCCCAGCTTCTTTGATTCGATGGAACATCTCCCCGTGCATCTTGCTTACGAAGCAAGTATAGCAGGTCCGGTGCAATATCAATGGATGTACCCATTTGAGAGGTAAAATTTCATTGATATTAAGTCAAGCACTTCATTTTCATCATCATGAATGACTCACAATTTGAGCTTATATGTTATTTCCAAAAACCTTCGGAAATTGAAAAATAATGATCGAAATAAGGCACAAGTTGAAGGATCCATATGCAATGCGTATTTAGTTGAGGAAGCTTCATCTTTTGGTTCACACTACTTCGAACCTCATGTTTACACAAGGCATAGGAAAGTTCCACGGAATGATGATGGTGGTACAAGGGAAAGGGATGAACGCGATGGTAATCTTTCTATATTTACCTATCCAGGTAAAGCATTTGGGAGATGTAAACCAAGATATATGACTGAAGAAGAACTTGATGCAGCTCATATTTATGTTTTATTAAATTGCACAGAAGTACACCCATATATTGAGTAAGACTTCAAGCTTTTGTTTTCATTTATAGATTAGCAAAATCATCAAAATACTTGATATATAATTTTCTTGGATGTGATTCAGAGGATTTTTATTGACTTCGTTCGTCAAAATTTCCCACAAATTACGGAGAAGGAAGTGGATAGGAAACTTGATGAAGATTTTTCATCATGGTTTAAAAGATGTGTGAGTACTTGTACAATATCCTTCCACTTATACTTGCCTCACTTATGAGAAACTCCAATTATTTTTCTTTTATAGGCATGAGTCCACATAGATAATCAGTTCATCAAGGCCCATGCAGAAGGTTCGTGTGGGACAACGCAACCATGGACCGTTTATATT